GAAAAGGAATCCCTAATTGTTACTGGGGATGAAGAATGCATCTCTTCAAATTTGTTGAAGCTGAATTGTTGGGAGATGATCTTCCGTTGTTAAAGAAATAAAATCTGTTTGGGAAGGAAAGCACTGTGCACTGCTTGAGGATTTTATGAGATTCTATTGGGGAATCTTGAGAAGTTTGACGACTTTACTCGGGAAAACCTGATGTCGGAGCAGTAGTTGGAAGTTCCTGTTCTGCCGGGGATACAAGAACACCTGACATCACTAGGTTGTAAGCTGAGGATATGGCAACGACTTTTTAGTTAGATGCTCCTGCCTTTGTACCTATTGGATAAAGTACATGCAGAGACTTTGTGGATGGTTTGAGTGTCATCCCAACTCCTAGGGTGCTTGGTAAATGCTGATCAGGGTGATAAGTTTTCTACTGATACACAAATGACAAGACGACGGGACATAGTTGTATGCTTTTAATCCCTAACTTTTTCCTGAACCTCCCTTTCAGGTTTTCAGTCCACCGGGATACCCTTGTTTACCCAAGCCGCCTTTTCAGGTTTTCAACTTTCCGGGTGTACAATATTTTTGTATATATCCCTAATTTTTGCCCGGACTCTTTTGGTTCGCCGAGATGCCCTTAATTTTGCCTAGGCTTGTCAACCTAGCGGGTTTTTTTCATGCGTAGTATTTTTTGACTATGTCTGTGTTCATAGGATATGGAGAGTTGTCACTATCTAAGACAACAAGTGTTGTAGAAATTCCAGAAAATGTTTATGTGATCGTATGCGCCCTTTCATATGTGGGAGCCTGTTTACCTCTGGGGTTAGTCTGGTGCACTTGATGTTTGATCAAGTTTCTGATAGTCTTGAAATTCCTAGGTATCTTTTCTAAGAACTGTCATGGAACGATTCAAAGACATGATACTGATACCATCTGATAGTCTGGCACAAACAAGCAATTTGGTGGTACCAAAGGTTTTTGATCACAGTGATTTTCTGTTGGATTCCCCGATCGATGTAACATGCCCCGAGTGATTCAAATGGATATATGCCCCTGGCTATTCAACACTTTTGAAAGATTATTTTGAATATTGACTTAACTGCCCCAGATTAATTAGGCACTATGGCATGCCCCCTTGGTTGGAAGTGCTTTTCCATCCGAGACGATTCTGTCCATTGAGAGGATTTCTGTTCATTGAATATTCATCGTGTGAATTTCTCTGCTGTTAAACAAATAGTCATGTGCAAACAAATGGTGTTTAAAGGATGCAAAGCTTATATCTGTCTTGAATTTTTTTGAAAATGCATTATTTTTAGTAAAACAAAATTTTGCAAGCATGTGATATCGACTTAGGATGTATAGAAAACCTTACAAGAATCAGGATACCTTTTGTAACAGTATGCTTTCAAACTAACCCACGCTTCAGCTAGGACTTTTAAGGGTTGTAACGTGGCCGGGTTCACGGTTTAAGAAACAAAGGATAAATGCTCAAAATTTATTTGTACCCAACCCGTTCTTCGTGATGTTCTTCAGTCCTATGCTCTGTTAATTGTGCATTTAACTCCCGCTTGAGTTTTTGCTCTGATATTCCGATGATGGTTCGAAAATTGAATGTTTATTTTGGGAAGGTGTGATACGGTGGCAGAACCGACTGTTTAATACTGGTTTGTGTTTTTTTGTATTTGCAAATGTCGCGGTAAGTAAGAGTCGTCACCGACTTTTCTTTTATACAACAAAGGAAAGGGTGAAAGAATAGAAAAAGACCTTTTTCGAGATATTCTGAGTAAGGGGGGTAGATATAGAAAGGGAAGGTGTTAGCACGCTTTCCATCCGTGGTTTTCCACGGGCTCTTAGGTACTTTCTCATTTTTGAAAAAACTGTTTTTGTGTTTTGAAAGATTTTGTTTGCTTTATGGTAACTCTTGTATCAGTTCTCAAGCGTGTGATAAAGCGTTTTTGAAAAGAAGTTTGAAAGTGTGGAAGTGTAAAAAGTTGTTTTGAGCAAGTACTGAAGAACTATCTACCTACTTGAAAAAGGATATTCTTTTCCTCCTACCCTTTAGACAGGGCTATCTTACTATTAGTGAGTAGGTAGCCCTAGTGTTGGATGTTGAGGGACTATCGAAAGGGACATTTATGGTCATCGAAGGCAACATGTAAGGATACCTTAGCATATCGTAGGGACTGTCATCGTATAGGCAACATCGAGGGACAAGATCATTTCTCATAGGCAACTCGAGGGACGTATAGGTACTATGATCTTTGTGATGACTTTTAAACTGAGGGTCTTTTGCTAAGATATCCCTACGTTCAAGGGACATGACCATTATTTTCCGAGGCAACCAAAGTGTGGTATACCCTAAGGGTGCAAGTGTGTAACAGTGTGCTTTTTTCAGTTATTTTTTGTCTTTTTATTAGGTTAGCTAACGTTTTGTTTTATAGTCTTGTCATACACGCCTAATTACTAGCAGTTTATATACAAGCATATAAGGAATATAAAGTGAGAAATGAAGTTCCTACAACTATTACAAGGCTTCAGGATAGTTACAATTATATCTAACTAAAATGTAAAGTGCGGAAAATAAAAATCCTAATTAGGGCTATTACTATTCAAAGGAAGATACATAGGCAGGAAATAAAATGCACGCGTGATAAAATCACAAACCATAGGCAGATACATAATAATATCAGCGCGTGAAATAAAGAAATGTCTAAAAACCTAATAAATAAAAATAAACAAAAAATCTTTTTTTTTTGCTAAGTTAATAATGAATTCTAAATTTATTTCTAATTAAGAAAATAGAAGTTGGATGAAATAAAATCATAATTCTAATATTTTTGCATTTTTTTATTAAGAAAATAACTTAAATTAAAATGAACCTAAGTCTAATTTGATTTTACATTGATAAAATAACATTAAAATAAATAATTAATTAATTAATATAATTTTTTAGAAAGAACCTAAATCTATTAATTATTTTTTTTTGATTTTTTATGACTTGTTAAAAAATGACTTCTGAAAATAATAAACAAAATAAAATAAAATGAGAAAAATAAAACAAAACATAGGCCTAACATCAAAAACAAAATGGGGGTGTGTTGTTAAAAAAAACGCTGTGCCCAATCCAGAGGGAGCCCAGAAGTTGTACTGGGATTCAGTGAGGAGCAGTTTTGATGGCTCATGGTGCACCTGCATATGGGAACCTTTTGATCTAGATCAACCAAGATCTAATGGTTGTGATCTGGAGGCGCATGTTGGACTGGTGTAGCTAATGCATACTAGATCTATAGTTAACAAATGTTAGAAAAATAAAATGTTGGACCTGGGGCTCGAACCCAGGTCCTCTCCCTCACAAATGCGTCTATTTACCAATTGAGCTGCCCTGATCTTTCATACATATAACAACATCCATATATTATATATAAAACAAAGTGCTATATGAGACAAAAAAAACCAAATGCGTGCAAGTTTGAATCGTCCAGTGGGGGACTGCCATGCATCGTCTTCCACCTATGTCCATCGTATTAGACAATAAGATCTATAGTGACGATTTTTTGTCCGTCACTGTAACCCCTGCATTTGAAACAAACTGAATACGCAACAAAAATAAATTGTGAGACCATGAATCCACTGGTCTCGTCTCCCTGAGCATGATGGTATCAGTGGTCAGGCCTAATTTTGCCTAACAATGGAAGCCCCAATTCTAAGGTCTAAACCCTAGATATGGTGACGCTTGATTCCTACATCAAAAAACCAATTCAAACATACAGATAGCTTGTAAACACGAAGATAGTCAGTAATTCCTTGTTAAAATATGTTTATATTACATAAATCAAAGAAAGTAAGTTTAAAAAAAAAACGCAAACCTTGAGCTACTGTATTGGGCATTTTATTGTGCTTTAGGTCCTGGTAACGATTGGAAGAGTTTCAGGGGGCTTCCAAGAAGGTTTTTGAGCCTTTTCTTAGGACTAAAAACAACTGGAATTTTCAATTCGGGTTTGACAATTTTTTGAGTTTTTTATGCAAAATTTGCAGCAGAACCTTGTTTCCTTCGAAAGCTCTGAACTCTAATTCGAATTGCGCCAGCTTCAATATCATGGATCCTTAGATTGAGCCACCCCCTGCTTCGATAGCTTGGTTTGAAGAAAATCACCTTGGTCGAATCAGCTCTGGTGGAGTTAGGAACAAATAAGGCAAGAATCTGGCCTTTAACTCATGAATTGAATCTATGATCAACATTAAATTCTTTCCATATTTGCAAGGAAAACATGCCATTTTGAACTTTGGGTGAACCTGGACAGGTTAGGATCATGGTCCCTTCGATTAATTCTTAAGTTTTTCTCTCTTCGATGGCTTTAAACTTGGTTCGAATGGCTCATTCTCAGCATTAGAGTTTCTTCGATTAGCCCCTGGACATTATTCTTCTTGATGGCGCTGAGTCCTGATTCGAATTGCTCAAGGCTCACCTCAGCAAAGCTTCTTCACTTGAGCCATGGTTTGTATGGATTCGAATGTCCCATCATCAGAATTTCTGGACACCTCTCAGTTCTTTCTCTTTTTGATCTCATTTTCTCTAACTTGGACAATCAAAATATCTCCCTGTTGATATGCCAATCGAAACATCACTTGGTTAACACGCCTGTCAAAAGGTACTTTGTATGCTCTATCGGAAAAAAAAAACCTTAGCTAAGATGCCCATCGAAGCTGCCTTGTTAGAGATGCCCATCGAAAGTCCCTATACCAATCGAAAGACCTTTTGCAGATGCTAATCGAAGGACCTTTTGCAGATGCCAATCGAAGGACCTATTGCAGATGCCACTCGAAGGACCTTTTGTAGATGCCAATCAAAGGACCTTTTGTAGATGCTAATCGAAGGACCTTTTGCAGATGCCAATCGAAGGATCTTTTGTAGATGCCAATCTAAGGGCACTTTGTAGATGCCAATCGAAGGATACTTAACCATCACTCGAAAAATTTCCTTTTCTTTAGGCAAAGGTTTGTAACCACCTATGCAAGAGGAAATCTTAGAAAACCATGAGAGGGCAAATTTTGGATTACAACAGTTAGCATCAACGGTTCCTGAGAATTCCCCATTCACTAAAAGACATGGTCGACTCCTCAGTTTGGTCACCTCAAGCCCTGATGAAGATATGGTGAAAGTTCTCTTCCAGTTCTTTGACCCTTTACATCATTCCTTTACATTTCCCGACTACCAGTTGGTGCCTATCATTGAAGAGTTTTCTCAGTTATTGGGTGTGCCTATCCTTAATCAATCACCCTTCAATGGTATGGAAAGAGACCCAAAGCCTAAAGAAATTTCTCAAGCCCTGTATTTACAACGGCCCGACGTTGTAGCAAACTGGGAAACAAGAAGCGGTATCAAAGAGTTTCTAGCCAAGTTCTTGTTGGAAAAAGCTCACTATTTTTGGGATACTTTGGACTTACAAGCCTTTGAGGAGGTATTGGCCTTTCTCATCTATGGGATGGTACTGTTTCCTAATACGGACCAGCTCATAGATGTGAAAGCGGTCAAAATCTTCTTGTCTCATAATTCGGTGCCTACTTTGCTTGGAGACATTCTGCACTCTTTTCACACTCACACTGTAAAGAGAAGAGGAACCCTTATGTGTTGCACTCCCCTGTTGGATAGGTGGTTTATTTTTCACCTACCACAGTCTGTTGTGAAGAACAAACAAGGCTTAATATGGTCTAGCAGGCTGATGCCCCTCACACATTCGGATATTCACTAGTGTCCTCGATCCGTGGAAGACGTTACCATCATTGATCGTTATGGGGAATTCCATAATGTCCTTCTCCTAGGAATTAGGGGTGGAATCACTTATAACCCTTGTTTGGCGTTGTGATAGTTTGGGTATGCTAGGAGGGACGGTCCTCATGATGTATTGGTTCAAGGAATTATGTTCAACTACGAGGGTGATGTTCAAGGATACCGTCAGAGGTTCATCCGAGCTTGGGGCATGGTAAACAAAGTGGATAGTAAGATATTGGGGCATAAGAACTCCATCCCTTTGGATCCTTATCTTAAGTGGGTGCGAGCTCGCGCCTAAAATCTCATGATGCCTTACCCCACCATTCTATCCATCATCATGGAACCCATTGCAGATACAGATGTACCTCATACCATTCTCCATCCTGACATGCCAAATACTCTGGAGGAATTGAAAAATTCTTGGGTTTAACTTAAAGAGGAACGAGATACCTTTGAAGCCCAACTCTATGCATGTGAGAAAACGATTTTGGAGCTTACAAGACAACTGCATGAAGAACAAATTTTGAATGCATATATTGCACCAAAGAGGAGGCCCTCATGGAAAGCTTGAGTACTGTTTGATTTATGAGTTTTGTTTATCCTTGTTTCTTCCAATGTAAGCCCAAGTGGCATCGTTGTAATCATTTAAACTTATGAATGCAATTAATGTTTGTTCTTCTCTTTGACTAAGAAAATTTAAGATCTCATAAGTCCTTGAAAACATTGTATAAACATTATCATGCATTTCATTGCATAAATAGGTATTTCAAGACAGGTTTCTTATCTTTTTGCTGTTTATTTCAGCAAAAGAAATGGCTCTTGAACAAATAGTGAATGATCTTCAAGCTCAAAACGCTCAGTTTCAGCAGATGTTCTTGGCTCTGGCCCAGGGGAAAGAAGATCTGAAAGCTCTGATCGTCAAAGAGAAGTCCAAGAAGGCAAAGAAACCAGTTGGTGTATTGAATTTGGGAAGAAGGATCAGAGGACCGGTTAAGCAAGCTATAGATTTTGCAACCCTGTCAAATGAGGGGGACAATCAAGAAGAGAAGCCAGTGGAAGAAAACAACAATCCAGGGTCTGAGGAAGATGAACCTGAATATTCTGAGGAGCAGTATCCTCCTGCTGATGATAAATACAAACATCTGTAGGATCGACTCAATGCTTTGGAGATCCAGAGGATACCCGAGATGGATTTTGAGGAGTTAGGACTGATTTCAGGGGTGGTCATCTCGCAAAACTTCAAAGTCCCTACATTTGCTAAGTACGACGGTGTCTCCTGTCCTAAGATTCATTTAAGATCGTATGTCAGGAAGATTCAACCCCACACTACTGACAGGAATCTGTGGGTACATTTCTTCCAGGAAAGTTTGGCAGGGACTCAGTTGGAATGATTCTATCAACTGGAAAGAACCAATATTCGTAATTGGGGAGATCTGGATGCTGCTTTCTACAAGAAGTACCAATATAATGTTGACCTCGCCCCAACTCGTACGCAATTGCAAAGTATGTCTATGGTTTTCGACGAAGTTTTTAAAGATTATCCCCAAAAGTGGAAAGACCTTGCGGGAAGAGTCCAGCCTCCGTTGTCTGATAGGGAGCTGGTTGACATGTTCTTAGGCACATTGTTTGGTCCGTTCTTTAACCATCCGATTGGAAGTTCATCTGCTGGATTTACTAAATTGATCCTGACTGGTGAATAGGTAGAGGATGGCATCAAAAGTGGTAAAATACAGAGAGATGTATCCTCCAATACTGCAAAGAAACATTTCACAGAAAAGAAGGAGGTCAGTGCTGCGTATGGCAAAAGAAATCACAACAAAGCTGAGCATTGTCCGATGGTAGGGGCTGTTATGATTTCCAATCCTGCCTCAAACCAGCAACGAAATAATTAGTACAAACCAGATGCACCTAGAAGACAATTCACTCGGATCAACATGACCCTATCCCAGGTCTTACCACATTTGCTGAAGTCCAATTTGGTGACTCTGAAGGAGGCCCCGAAGAATCCTAATACTGCCTCTCCCTGCTACAACCCGAATACCCGATGTGTCTACCACTCTGAAACGCTGGGGCATGATACAAAATATTGTTGGGCTTTGAAGAACAAGGTGCAAGACCTTATTGATGCAAAAGAGGTTGAATTTGATCCCCCTGAGACTCCCAACGTCATAACTGCACCTATGCCCAAGCATGGCCCGGGAGTCAGTGCTATTGATGTTGTCTCTGCCATAGATGATGCTGATAGTAGCTATGACTTGGACAAGTGGATCTTCCCAACTATCAGCGGTGGACTCAACAATTGGGAGGCCAAAGATTTTGTTCCCATCTCTTTCATTCAATAGTAATTTGTCTTTTGTTTGTGAGGAAATGTAATATTTGAACAATTAACACTTTAAAGCCTTGTGTCTTACCCGAGGCACAGTGGTTTATTTGTGAGGGTCATTACTTCATTCTCATATTTCATTAATAAAACATTGGATGTTTTGCAGGCAAATTTTGTGCTCTTTTTTTCTTTTCTGCTTTTTACTTTATGAAAAAGTATACAGCTATGCTCTTACGCACACCCACATATCAAACTACAGATCCACATCCACTATGGATCCCATTGATAACGGTTCTGCTATTTCCCATTATGACTTCTAAAATTTGATCTACCAAACCGAAGCCGAAGGTGAGGAAGATTGTAAAGTACCAGGAGAACTTGCCAGACTGTTACAACAAGAAGAAAGGACAATACAACCTCATGAAGAGTCGGTTGAGACAATTAACTTGTTTACTAAAGAGGACAAGAAAGAAGTCAAGATAGGTGCCGATTTGGAGCATAGTGTCAAGGAGCGATTAATTCAGATGCTACATGACTATGTTGAGGTTTTTTTCTGGTCATACAAAGACATGCCGGGACTTAACACCGATATTGTGGTTCATCGCCTTCCGACAAAAGAGGACCGCCCTCCCGTGAAATAGAAGGTTCGTCGTATGCATCCAGAGATGTCAAAAAAGATCAAGGCTGAAGTCATGAAACAGTTCAATTCTGGTTTCTTAGTTGTCACCTCTTATCCACAATGGGTTGCCAACGTGGTTCCAATACCAAAGAAGGACGATAAGGTATGTATGTGTGTGGATTATAGAGACCTGAATAGGGCAAGCCCCAAGGATGACTTTCCGCTTCCCCATATTGATGTTTTGGTTGACAAAACCACACATCATAAGGTATTTTCCTTCATGGATGGTTTCTCCGGATACAATCAGATCAAAATGGCACCTGAAGACATGGAGAAGACGACCTTTATCACACAGTGGAGCACTTTCTGTTACAAAGTTATGCCATTTAGGTTAAAGAACGTCGGGGCAACCTATCAGTGCACCATGGTAGCTTTGTTTCATGATATGATCCATCACAAGATAGAGGTCTATGTTGATGATATGATATCCAGGTCTCAGACTGAAGAAGAGCACCTCGATCACCTACGTAAGCTATTTGAAAGTTTGAAGAAATACAAGTGAGGTTGAACCCGAATAAATGCACCTTTGGAGTAAGATCTGGTAAGCTCTCAGGCTTCGTTGTCAGCAACAAAGGCATTGAAGTTGACCCTACAAAGGTTAAAGCTATACAAGAAATGCCAACTCCTCGCACTGAGAAGGAGGTTAGGGGATTCTTAGGATGCCTAAACTACATAGCCAGATTTATTTTCCATCTGACCGCTACTTGTGAGCCAATCTTCAAATTACTGAAGAAATATCAAGCAGTGAAGTGGAATGACGACTGCCAGAACGCCTTTGATAGAATAAAAGAATATCTTCAAGATCCTCCAATTTTAATGCCTCCAGTCGAAGGAAGACCTCTGATCATGTACTTAATAGTATTAGAGAACTCAATGGGGTGTGTGCTAGGGCAGCATGACGAATCTGGTCAAAAAGAGCATGCAATATACTACCTTAGCAAAAAGTTTACCGACTGTGAAACAAGATACTCACTGCTTGAGAAAAACTTGCCACGCTTTGGCATGGGCTGCTCGTCGACTAAGACAATATATGTTGACTCACACTATCTTATTGATATCTAAAATGGATCCTATCAAGTACATCTTTGAGAAGCCCGCTCTCTCTGGAAGAATAGCAAGATGGAAAATGATCCTGACCTAATACGACATTCCATACACAACCCAGAAAGCAATTAAAGGAAGTGTATCAACTGATCATTTAGCTCATCAGGATGTGGATGACTACCAATCCATGAATTTTGAGTTCTCGGACGAGAACATCATGTTAGTAACTGATTATGAAGAACCTGGACCGGATGAAGGACATGAAAAGGATCCTGATGGACTATGGTTTTTGAAAAAGCTTCCAACGTTCTTGGCAATGGCATCGTTTCTATGATCATATCTCCTGAAGTCTTTCATACTCCTTTCACTTCCAGGCTATGCTTCAATTGCACCAACAACATGGCTGAATATGAAGCATGCATTATGGGTCTTAAAGCTGCTATCGACTTGAGGATCAAATTCTTGAGTGTATTTGGAGACTCGGCCTTAGTAATAAGTCAAATCAAAGGAAAATGGGACACAAAGCATCCTAATCTCATCCCTTACAAAGAGCATGTGTTAACATTGATTCCATACTTTGAATAAATTACCTTTGAGCATTTTCCACGAGAGGAAAATCAACTAGTGGACGCGCTAGCTACTATGTCATCCATATTCAAGGTAGGTGGGATAATGAAGCTCCTCAGGCCACTATTTAAAGAATGGATGAACCAACATACTATCACGAGATTGATACTGAAGAAGTAGTGGACAAGCCTTGGCTCCATGAAGTCAAAAGATATCTCGAAGCAGAATCATGGTTGTGCTTGTAGAGGATCCTGTTACTGAGGAAGAACTTTGCAGAGAACCTTCTTAGGAACTTCTTATCATTGACTAAAGCCCCCTCAGGATACTATTGGTCCACTATAGAAGCAGATTGTTATTAGCATTCACGAACTTGTCACAAATGCCAGATCTATGCTGATAAGGTATATGTGCCTCCAGTTCCTATAAACGTCATGACTGCTCCCTGGCCATTCGTAATGTGGGGCATCAATATGATTGGGGAAATCAGACCTACAACTTCTAATGGGCACCGCTTCATCCTGGTTGCCATTGATTACTTCACGAGGTGGGTCGAGGCAGCTTCATTTGCTTCTGTTACCAAGAACGTTGTGGCTTGACTCATCAGACATAACCTTATCTGTCGGTACGGTATTCCAAAAAGAATCATTATGGATAATGGTACCAATCTCAATAACACTATGATCAT